CATACATAATGCACATACCCACTATCCTATACCCAGCCTTATAGTTAATGCCATCCAAATGACAAATTACTTGACGAACGGTATGCAAAGCAGGGATAGCATAATATTTCCAAGATCCCACCAACCAAGCTTTTTTTTTGCAATGAATAATTAATTTGAATTAAACGTAATGCAAATTATATGAGAAAAAAATAACACTTGTATGGTAAAGAAGAGAATACCTCAATAAAATAATCATTTGAGATATTTATTATAAAATATTTGCTTCTGATGCATGCCTTTTTATTTGATTTTTATCGTTTCTTAGAATATATGGAACGTACAAACATATATACATATATGATTTTATCTTCTTCTTCTTCTACCTGACAATTTCCCAGCTTTAGCCAGGGTCTGCCTTACATGTTGTGAATAGTTTTGGCTATTTGTTTTTACGACCGGCAGCCTGCCTGACATCAACCCTCTTTGGGAATGCATTAATCAGTGATGTCTAAATACTCTTAGAAAGTACATATGACTCGGAAAAATCACATTGGTACTTGCCAGGATGGAACCCGATCCCTCATGCATGAGAGGCGGGCCATTTAACCACTAGGCCACCACTGACTTAAATATATGTTTGTAAACATATATCCTTACAAATTCATTAACTAAAATTTATATATGTACGTATTTTATACAAAAAATATAATATATGTTAAGAAATTCATAGAAAAAATGTTAAATAAAACAACATTTCATTAAAATCGTAAGTCATTTCTTGGAAGTTCGCATATCTTAGTGACTTATAAAGTATTTGGTATTTTGCGCGAATTACATTAATATTAAAATTCGTATATCTCAATCATGTATATATAAAATAATAATATAATTTACTTATGACTTTAAACTATTAGTACTATGGATTAATGGATCATTTATATTCATTTTTTTAAATATTTTTCCGAGTTGATAAATATTTACATGTAATAGTTGCATCTCTGATAGTCTTTAAAACTATATATATAAATAAATAATTATAGATGAATCCTCTCATCATTCAATGTATTCACGGTGCGTGTGTCGGGTCCATCGTTGTAGTGAGAGGAGCTTCAACAGTGACTGTGACTTGTGACCTAGGTGTAGGTTTAATATATATATAGAGAGACGAAACCTCTCATCATTCCATGTATTCACGGTACGTGTGTCGGGTCCATCGTTGTAGTGAGAGGAGCTTCAACAGTGACTGGGACTTGTGACCCAGGTGTAGGTTTAATATATATAGAGAGACGAAACCTCTCATCATTCCATGTATTCACGGTGCGTGTGTCGGGTCCATCGTTGTAGTGAGAGGAGCTTCAACAGTGACTGGGACTTGTGACCCAGGTGTAGGTTTAATATATATAGAGAGACGAAACCTCTCATCATTCCATGTATTCACGGTGCGTGTGTCGGGTCCATCGTTGTAGTGAGAGGAGCTTCAACAGTGACTGGGACTTGTGACCCAGGTGTAGGTTTAATATATATAGAGAGACGAAACCTCTCATCATTCCATGTATTCACGGTGCGTGTGTCGGGTCCATCGTTGTAGTGAGAGGAGCTTCAACAGTGACTGGGACTTGTGACCCAGGTGTAGGTTTAATATATATAGAGAGACGAAACCTCTCATCATTCCATGTATTCACGGTGCGTGTGTCGGGTCCATCGTTGTAGTGAGAGGAGCTTCAACAGTGACTGGGACTTGTGACCCAGGTGTAGGTTTAATATATATAGAGAGACGAAACCTCTCATCATTCCATGTATTCACGGTGCGTGTGTCGGGTCCATCGTTGTAGTGAGAGGAGCTTCAACAGTGATTGGGACTTGTGACCCAGGTGTAGGTTTAAGGGGTCCCTATCTAACGCGTTAAACGCTCACCTCTAGAATAATCTTATACGTCACGGAAATATATTAAATCAAATCTTTTTACGTTCTTTTAATATTGGTTTTACAATCTGAGTGACACGAAGAAAAAACCAAAGATGAAAGACATATAGATTAGGGTTTTCTAAACCAAATACAAGAGTAACTAGCTGTATAAATATGATACTTGAATTCCTAACCAAAGGAAAATATTTTTGATCAAAATGGACAGTACAAGAAAACACCAATTTTATATGTAAAGACGTAATATATGTACCTATATATATATATATATATATATATATATATAGTTTATCCTATTACTTTATTAGTTTTTTTGTACCCTAAAACTTCTGTATACAGCGCGAGTTTAATCAATGATGATTTTTGAAGGAATATAAATAAATTATTCTTCTATACAGTTATTATAAGTTAGAAGAAGATATTGCTCTAACGAAAGTCATAAGTAATAGCTTTAATATCATCTCATTGTAGAAATGGAAGTTTGTTGAAGTACAGGGCTTATTTATTTGTCAAAAAATATAAATAATTTAAATTATAAGTTACATGATGCTACAAAAAAAGTTGTATTATTCTTAGAGTCATTTGTGTATATGTTTGTGTGTATGCTACACCCAAATCAATTGTAACTCGTAAATAGGAATACATATTATTTTTCTATGTACTAAATATTTTTAATATATTATTATATATATTATGAAAACTACCATATGTACATATTTAAAAAAAAATATCTGAATTATAATATGTTTGGTGCCTATACCCAACATATGTTACACTGTACATGTTCTTTCCAAACCTCACAGCATTTCAAAACATGAGTCTTGTATACATCAACTCCTGGTCTGCCTCCGTCTTTATATCCTCGTATATCAAGGCCTTATGGAAAACTATGGATTTTCAGACATAATTTGTTTTTAACCAAAATTTTGTTCATAATTTACAGCGATTGTTACGCATATTGTTGGGGTATGATTAAATTAAAATTAATTTTTTGGCAAGTTATATTTTTAATGACGATTCTATCCTATAATAATGTATGATACACCACGTTCCTATTATCGAATAACCATAATCAAGACCTTCATTTGACTTAGAGCTAGTGTGGTAAAGTCGTGAGTTCATTCCCAGTTGAATGATAGGACTTCGGTTGCTTTTAACCATAAAACCATGAATTGCAACCAGTTTTCACCCTCTATAGCAATTGCGTTGCAGACAGCGTCCAAAAAAACCATCAGTAATGCAATTTTTTTGCTAGTTTTAGCAGTTTTCTGCACAAATTTTAAAGCAATCGTTGTCATAGTTAAGAAAAAACCTTATTTTCTTCAAACGTATTCGTTTCTGTTGAAGAGCCCATAGACCAGGCTATCTTGTGGTTTATATCTTTAAGTCCCATAAGATTATTTTACTGATGATAAATGTTACTCACACATTTGGAGAGCGTTTTTAAACAAAATTTAGTATTTTTTAAGTTTTATCTCAATTCTTTGTTGAAATACTGATAATAAGCCAAAATAAATACAAACAAAGTTACTGTTAGCGTAACTGATCTTTTAGTATAGCTAGACTTTGCAAAAAACAGTAAAAGAAATAATTGAAATTCTATATACATATTTTATTTAATTGGAAAAATGTCACGATAACTTTTTGAACTGAGTATATTATCTATGTAAAGGTAGGTACCTAGTCAAAAAAAAATATTTTTTTTTAAATTTGAGATTAGAAAGTTTTTTTTTTGGATTTGTTTTTACAAATTTAAAATATTGAAGTAGGGTGTTTTAAATTAAAACGCATAAATGAAATGTTTTCATATTTTTTTTTATTTGACAAAAGAAATTAATTCACTGTTTTTTTTTTTATTATTCCGTTTTCCTTACAATATAGTTATGAAGTAATTATTCTATCTAATCTATATGTATATGTTTAATTTTCTCTATATAATACAGATTATATTTACAAAACATCCCGTAAAACCCATGCTAGGCTGTAGTAAAAAAAAAAACGAAAAAAATATTCATACAGGAACTACAGCTTTTCTATTCTGATTTCTAATACCTTGACATAGAACACAATTTTGCACGACATGTAATAAATACATTTTTTTCTTGTCCTCATCGAAAAAAAAAATTAACTTAAAATTATCTATCACAAGACTGGTTTGTGTTCCCGTTTCTGATTTAACTAAATAAATAAAAGAAATATATATTTTTAAAGCTAATTAATTTAATGGTACACCCATCGGAATTATGTTTTTTTTCACAATCAACACCACGATTTCATAAATAGTGGTAATTTTGGAACTTTAACATTATACATTAAATAATAATTATTATATAAAAAAAAATATCTTTACATGCTTTGTTAGTGACACAAAGAAAAAAGGAAAAAAAATCGAACATTTTTTTCCGGTGACCACGCTAACTATATCTATCTCTTTCACACATAATTTGAACGAGAGAGACAGGAATACATTTCAAACTATCAATATTGCACAATTCATACAGTATAAACAATTTACATTTATTTATTTAATTATTATTTTTTTCTCAATATATAATACAAAATCATAGGATACAATAACCTTGACGTATGTACAATCAGTCAAAATTGTATACGCGATTTTGTTACTTAATATATAAACAACAGAGATTATAATGGCATACACAACTTTGAAAGATCTGGTGGCCACCGAAATAGAAAAATAAAAATCTTACAATAGAATTATCATTATGAAAAAAAAAATTTACATTTATCTATCATTAATTAAATTATATAATAAAGTTGTGCCGGTTTTTAGATATACGTCATTTTGTTTTATTTTTGTCGTATGTGTTAATACTTGCTAAATTTATTATACATATATATATGTATATATATTTTCATTTTTATCCCACGGCTGTTACACGGCCGGCCAGACCCTGTTAACAAAGAATTTTGAATTAATAACTTTGAACCAATTCATTTACGAAAATATTAAAAAAAATCACTGATTTTTTTCATATATGTATATATTTAATTGCGTATGCCATTATTATCTGAATTTGGTACATTTATTATGACCATAAAAGGTCATTTTATTGTATATTATAACAAAATCTTCAGCTGTCGTAATTATTTTGTTCGTTCCCCAAAAATTGACTCCTTAAACCCATACGATGGAAAAGAGCTAGGCCGTTCTCACTGGAATATAAATAATTATATGAAAAACATGATTTTGACGTAAAATCTGAGATAAATTGTTAAAAATGAAAACTTTCAGTTGCAATGGATATAAGAAGTTAAAATACAGTAGCAAAAACCAATAGAAGATTACTCAAAAACATTATAATTAATGTAAAATTTTATGGAAAAGATTATAATTATTAAATTGGTTCTTGCAAAAAAATGTATCTAAATAAAATAATTTTTAGATGACTGTTAGATTAAATATATATGAATCTATTAGCGGAATACTTCTTTGTTCCAGGTATAATACGAGCCTCTTTACTTCTAAATAATGCTCATAGGAATTTGTCAACGAATTTGTAGTTGAGCTCAATATAGAAAATAAGGATTATTCCTTACAAAAGAACTACAAAATTGTTAAAAACTGCTTTTTTATTTCGTAGTTTTTCCTTGAAAAACAACTTCCCGTTTTGAATTATGTTTCAACACTTGTAAGATCCAAAAATTTAGGGTAATTTGATTGGAATTATCACCAAATTTAAGGCCCTTGATATATATCCAAATTTAACATAGAAATTAAAATGAAATTCAAACTATATGTCTACACTCGAGACTATTCAGTTTAAAATTTATTCTAAAACCATAAATTATTACTGTATTTCATACTAACAGTCCTTAAATTTAGTCTAGACTCAAAGCTATTTGGGTCAGTTTAAAATTTCGTCGAAAACCATACATTATTTGGGCATTTCAAAGTACATCTCTTAAATTTTGCCTAGACTCGATTTTTTTTGGGTCAGTCTAGAATTTAATTCGAAACCATAGTCTAGATACGATTCTTTTTGGGTCAGTCTAGAGTAGTCTCAATTTAGAAGCCAAAATAATAGATTATTTCTATATATCTATATATACAACTCACGTGAGTAATCCAGGGTTATCTGGTTGGTACCAACTGTACTGCGGCACGTACGGGGGATGCTGTGGCGGCTGGAGGGCGTGTGTGTGTCCACCCTTCATATCCCAGCCAGGAGGCGCGCCCTATACCAAGATTATCATCAGAAATTAAACATACATACATACGGTGAAGGAAAACATCGTGAGGAAACCTGGACTTATAGTTTCACAATTATAAGTTTGAAATCACCAACCCGTCTTGAGCAAGCGTGGTGGTTAATGCTCAAACCTTCTCCATGTGAGAATAGGCAGCTCAGTTGTGGGCTCTGATAGGCTGATGATGACGACATACATACATACATCTATATAGTAGAAGCTTCCAAACGGCTCGATCGATTGTGATGAAACTTTTTTGCAAGTTAGATGGGACTTTAGAAAAGGATGTAGTATAGTTTTGGATTCGATGATCGAAATTCCAAAAAAATATTATGAGTATCAATGATCTTTTTTATTCATTATTTTACGTTTATTTTTGTGTTACCGTAAAGTATGCAAAATGTTATAAAAAAAAACTATTATATTATGATTAATTTAACAATAAACTTTATTAATATAATATCTTCTCTTTTTTTGTAATTTTTCTAGTAATTATAATTTCAGTAAACAATAACATAAGTGGTACATATTATGTTTTAATTCCATTAACAAAAAATTTAATACGAAATCCATTATTTAATTGAGAGTGAGAATGCCGTGACTTTATATTATTTCGCTGTTCGTTATTTATGTACAGAAAAAAGGCGGAACCTTGTGACGCGGTGAAATTACTAAACTGTAATGTTTATGAACAGACAAATTATTTATATGATAGAATTCTATTAAAAAAATCATTTTTATGTATATACTAGTTTTAACTCGCGACTTCGTCTTCGTTAGTTTCAGAATAGGAAATGTATAGCTGTCTAAGTGAACTATATTCCTCCTTAAAGACAGTAGATAAGAATTTGGATTTGATCAACATTTTTTTTTACTTTATCGACCGAATGTAAAGTATCCTATGTCCTTTCTATGTTCTAAGCTATCTCTCCACCAATTTTCAGCCAAACCCAGTCGTTCTTGAGTTATAAATAGTGTAACTAACACAAATTTCCTTTATATATGAAGAGATACATATATGTAAGTAATTTAAATAAGGATCAAAATTATGAAAAATTTATCAAAAAACAATTACATTGAATTCCCGTTTATACATCCATTTATAATGGGTTGGTTTGAAAAAAAATAATAAGATATTTATCAATATATCCAAAAAATCCTTACGTATAAAACCAATCATTCAAATATTACGTGATTATTATGATAGAAATATACTCACATATCCGACCCTAGGGTCCCACGACTGCTGATGAGGAGGCTTCACATCACAGGAGCCGTCGGGAGAACGGCCGGCGTTAGGCTACACAGACAAACAAACATACATATAAATATATACTTATATTATAGAAACAAAGGCGAAACTTCTCATCATTCCATGTATTCACGGTGCGTGTGTCGGGTCCATCGTTGTAGTGAGAGGAGCTTCAACAGTGACTGGGACTTGTGACCCAGGTGTAGGTTTAATATATATAGAGAGACGAAACCTCTCATCATTCCATGTATTCACGGTGCGTGTGTCGGGTCCATCGTTGTAGTGAGAGGAGCTTCAACAGTGACTGGGACTTGTGACCCAGGTGTAGGTTTAATATATATAGAGAGACGAAACCTCTCATCATTCCATGTATTCACGGTGCGTGTGTCGGGTCCATCGTTGTAGTGAGAGGAGCTTCAACAGTGACTGGGACTTGTGACCCAGGTGTAGGTTTAAGGGACCCCTATCTAACGCGTTAAACGCGTACCTCCACTGTCCAAGCTCCTCTCTCTACCAAATTTGAAAAGAACCTACTAGAACTGACTTTAAAGTACGTTCGAATAATTTCATTTCATCACTTAATTCGTAAACATATAGTTTTATAACATATTTTTACAAGAAAGAATATATTTTATTGTTTTTCATTTACTTACTTTTGTAACTTAAACGACTTGCGTATATTGCTATCAAATGTATAAATAGTTCTTTGATCATATTATGAATTACTAAGTCTTGATTTTTCCCTATTAAATTGAAATGTTTTATCAAAATCAAGTTCAGTCCTACGAAGAGGTTAGTGAATGAAACGTTTTGAAGCAACAAGTCGAATTACAAAATCATATGAAAAAAATATATTCTTATATAGTACCTACCATAGTTATTAATACTATCTTACGAAAATCCATTAATATATCTATATTATAAGCGTATATTCAATATTTGAAAGTCATTGCAATATAACCAAAACGAAATGTAATTTATAACAATCAGAATAATTATACAATTAAGATGATCTAAGTAATGTAATTGCATTAATAAGAGCCCACTACTGAGCAAAGGCCTCTTTCTCACATGGAGAAGATTTGAGCATTAATCACCACGCTTGTTCAAGACGGGTTGGCGATTTCAAACTTATAATTGTGAAATTATAAGTCCAGGTTTCCTCATTATATTTTCCTTCATCTGTCAGTGATGTCTAAATACTCTTAGAAAGTACATACTCGGAAAAATCACATGGTACTTGCCAGGGTCGAACCCGCGCCCTCATGCATGAGAGGCATCCTTTTAACCATTAGGCTACTACTGATTTATTATCTATATATGTATATATTGTAATAATAATCGCTCTCATAAGTCGTACTACCAGCAAGCAATTTTTAAATTTCAATAAAATGTCCATAATATAATGATTATTCTTACATATCCAACCTTTACGTCCCATGTAGGTTGTGGTGGTTGCTTCACATCCCAGGGAGTTCCCGTGGGAGATAGTCCCGGGGATAATTCAGATACTGGGGTAGAACTGGGAGTGGGAGAATGTGCTTGCGTGGGTCCGCTTTGATAAGCTGATGGAGAATGTTGGGACCCGCTGGAACTTCCACCACCTAGGAAAATAATAACATTCATTATATAGAGAATAACATTTTTTGTCGTTCATAGGACTAAAGTTAGAAATTAGCCTAAATAATTTATATTCTTCATCGTTTTATTGAGATTTTCCTTTATTAAATACGTGTAATAGTATATTAGACTTTATTGCTAATCGCAAAGATGCACATATTGTGTTCAAGAAATGGCAATAAGATTTACTGAATTTCACTGTCTTTAGATTAGAGATGAAAAAGAGGAAAAAATATGCTTTCGTTCTTAAAATAAAACTTAATTTACAATTTAAATGTTTTCAGTGTAATATTTCAATAAATTTCTTTGAAAATGAGAAATTTTACACTAACAATTAAATGAATCTAATATTTTCGGATTACTAGATAGATAAGTATTCATTATTTTATATCGTCTGCTCTTAATCACGATTTTAATGTAACCGAAACGTAGGGAGTATGTACAATGTACATAATAGAATAATGCTACATCATCATCAGCCTATCAGAGCCCACTGCTGAGCTGCCTCTTCTCACATGGAGAAGATTCGAGCATTAATCACCACGCTTGTTTAACGGGTTGGCGATTTCAAACTTATAATTTGATATAAGTCCAGGTTTCCTAATGCTTAGTAATCCAAAAATATTAGTTTCATATAAACGAATACTCGCGAAAGACTTACATCTCATTATGCTCAGCAATAAGTGCAATTAGTTTTAAAGGGTCAAATGTCATATGTCAAAGGTTACATACCATGTAATATCTGGTTGTTATTCGGGGGGCTCCCGGGCATCCCAAGTCCCGGGGGCGGAGCCCCAACCTGGGCAGCCTTCATCATCTTCTTGTATTTGCTACGACGGTTTTGGAACCAGATCTTCACCTGCACAAAGAATATATTAAACCAGCTGTTAGACTTCACCTGGATTTGCAGATGCAGGTGTATACCTTATTTTAATACGAGCACATATTAATATGATGTCAATCTTAATTTGATGGAAACGAAATAAGTTATGATGGAAAAATAAAGTTTAAGTAAGCTAATATTAAATAAAAGGCAACTTTATTATGTATATTTTATAACAATTATATATGTATATACATTTTATCGTGCAACTTAATAAAGTGTAAAGGAAATACGCGTTAATTATCAATTAAATTACATACAAAATATATAAAAACATTATCAAATATATATTTGACATACATATACAAATGAAATGCACTTATAATATTTGATATTAAATTAGAATTAAAAGAAACACTTCGACTTTTGGGGTCAAAAGCAATGAAAATACCACACGCACTAGCGTGATGAAAGGCGGGGTCTGGGGTGAGCACTTACCCCGTAAACAGTGAATAAAATATATATCGATATTATTACCTAAAAAAAATCGATAAAATAAATCAATTACATCAAAAGGCGAGAAAAATCAATCATATATAAATATACTTGTATTTTTTTACGTCATTTGTAATTATAAATCGCGTCAAGTTTATATCAAACAGGCTGTCTTGACAGCGACAATATTATTAATATATCAGGACAAATTAGTTACGATAACGGGTTCCAATACAAGTTTCATTATGAATTATGCAATACGCAAAGCATAAAAAATATATTAACACTTTAATTAAAATATAATTGTATATATATAAATAAATAGTGAATGAGTCTGTGTATGTTGTTATCGATATAATTACATCACTAACGCTAAGCCGCACCCTTTCACCCCACCCCCATTAGCCGGTCACGAAAACTTAACCTAACGTATTCTATTGGTAACTTACAAGGTTAAAACGAAATTACTTTATATATCATTTGGATGATTACATTACACACACACACTCATACACACACACACACACACACACACAGAGTAAATAAAACTATACGCACAAATAATTATATAAATATAGAAAATTATTTAAATTTATTTACGCTTACATTACTTATAATACTCTCAATATTTTACACTTGCATATTATTAAATGTTGCATATTTTTTCATAAAAAAAATATCTTCATTAAAATCATGAATAAGTTAACGTTTTTTTTTTCTATATGAATTCAGAACGTTGCATGACAATAACCCTAAAAAAAAAAACAACAAGATGGCCGCCACCGCAACACATGGAACCACAATAATTTTGTATTAATTTTTATTACATTGTTGTCGTCATAGAATGGAATCGTACAAAAAAAGTATTCCTGTTATGAAAATAAATGGAGAGGTACATATTTGTTATTATAATTTCGTATTTAATATAAATATATTAGGTATTTTACATTAAAATAATAGCACAACATATGTAACAAAATCAAATTGTCATTTGTGTGTTAAAATTTGAAAATGGAACACTAATTTTCAAAAATATAGAATGAATTATTTCATTTACATTCCTATATTTGAAAATGGAACTATTATTTACATGTATACAATGAATTATTTCGTTTGTATTCCTATATTTGAAAATGGAACACTTATTTTCAATAACATAAAAAGAATTATTTCGTTTGTATTCCTATATTTGAAAATGGAACTATTATTTACATGTATACAATGAATTATTTCGTTTGTATTCCTATGTTTGAAAATGGAACTATTATTTACATATATATATTTGTTAAACTCTCATCATATGTCATACAATTAACGAATTTCACTTTTATTTCGAGAACTGTGCCGTTTACCCGGTTTTTAGTTTCAAGTATGCTGCCACAAGGACGGCTCGGCGGCGAGCGTAAAGAAATATCATACATAGATGGAATAACACTGGGAACTTGCCAATACAGCTAGTCCGCCACTCTTATGGACCGCGTTCAACAAGATGGACGCTAATGGAAATAAATAGTCATTACTTACACGCTAATTAATAGAAGCTAATATATATATATACAGGGTGACTGGTGAATTACTATCAATATTTAAGGAGCATACTCGGTACATGATTCTCATTCGAATTATGTAAAAATAATAGGCACTTAATTTTTGACAAAATTTCCGTAATAATAAGTAAAGTGTTGACACGTTCCAAGTGTTCAAGTGTGGACGCGTGCGGCGGCGTGCTGATACAACACTACGTCACGACACGCGTATGTGTGAGTGTGTGTGTATACCTAATCTGTAGGGTGTTCATACGATGCGTAATTAATTACATAACTTTTGGTTAACTTTACTTAGAAGTTTATTAATATTTATGTTATATTCATTTTTATTTTGTCATATATGATCGTCAAATATCACGTCCTCAAATATTGATAGTAATTCACCAGTCACCCTGTATATATATATATATATATGATTTCATATTAATTATTCATATATTATTGACGAAATAATGATAAGAATGTGTCAATATATATGTCTATTTGTATATATATAAATATTAATGTACACCCGATCGTGCATGACGCGGTTCTTGCGATTTTTTTTTTTGTTGTTGTTTTCGTTTAAAAAACGGTAGCTGGTACAAAACTGCATGCCGAGGCCGGACACTGAATGACGTGGAGACGCGTTCCTTTTTTGAAATTGTTGTTTTTTTTTTTTTTACATCATCCTCCGCGGAATATATGCTGCTAGTACTTTTTACGGTATGCAATACTTCCAATATGCTTTTTGTTTGTGACAAAAGAGGTTTTTATATCAATCACATATTTGTTTGAGTTAAATAAAATAATTTAAATATACAGGGTTAATTTATCGGTGTGTGTTGTTAATAAAAAGGTGTAAATTGCATTAGTAAGGTAAGGCATGTTATACACCTCTTCATAACATAGATTGCTCGCTTACTTGATGTATTGACAGATGAAAAATTATTTCAATGTCTTTAGTAATTGACATGTATATTTTAAGCTGACAATATCTTTATGTCTTCAACTATAATTTTCTGTTTTTTATGTGGTTTGTAACATATCAAAGAACTAGTTATTTTTATAAGTTAATTTTAAGTATATTAATTTTCACAAATATAAACATTTTGACACTGTTTCGTAGTTTTTGAGTTACAATGTGTCAGACAAACGAATTTAACTTTAACGATTAATTCCTCAAGTGGACGGAAATATTAATATTTCTGATAAAAAAAAGTACCGCTCCATTCTGGTGACACATTTATAAATGTGATAGTGTTGTAGATGCAATCGATATAACGATAATATCGATATTCACAACACTACAGCTCATACATGTAATGAAGATCAAGTTTACTCGACAAAAGTAAGTTACACTCAATCATAAATCATTTCAAATCTGTTAAAAGAATTCTTCGATATGATTATCTCAATTAAAAAAATGACAGATATGAATTATCGATTTACGGAAAGCAAATATCGATATCGATTATATCAATCGTCAATCACTATCGTTTAAACATGACTCATTTGTATTGAATTAAAATTATTATACATAAAATACAATTTAAACAATCTTCTATATATATAAAAATGGATTGCTGTTCCTTAGTCTCGCTAAAACTCGAGAACGGCTGAACCGATTTGGCTAATTTTAGTCTTGAAATACTTCTGGAGGTCCAGGAAAGGTTTAAAAGGTGAGAAAAATGGAATAATTGCCGGGAAAACCCTAAAAACAGCCCTTTTCTATTTCCCATACAAACGTTTTTTTGACATTAGATTTGACAACTAACTAATATGTCAATCATTATGTTTGATTGAAACAGGAAAATCCTGATTATTTATGGCCTAACATATATTACTCTTGACCAAACTAACGCGGACGAAGTCGCGGGCAAAAACTAGTTATTAATATAACAGAACATAGATTAATAATAATCCTAAATTGGATGTGGTATTTCATACAAGTCACGTACACAAACGGACATTGTTCTCGAATGCCACATCCATACATTCGGAGCTCAAATCTTTTAGCCATTAAAGGCGTATTTTTTTTCCCTCGCAGGTGAAAGCCCGCGGATTTCTCACAATGTCTTTATCTCAGCCGACAGTGATTACGTCGCGGGCACGACGTTTGTCGGTCTGTTTATCGATAAACTAAAAACTGGACATGCCACCACACTAATACATACCGCTCCATATTGACAGATGTGCTCCGATACTTTAAAATTAATTGTTTTATTGATTTGTTTTGATAAACACATTTATATATAGAATGATTTTTTGGTATGGTATGTTTTTTAGTGTGTCGCATGTCGCATTACAAACGATATGGAGTGGGGGTTAGCTATGGCGCAAATGATTATCAAATATTTGAATTCTTTACGATTCCTGAATATCAATTCTATTTCCGGATTATTAGTTTATGTTAATGTTACCTTTTTATATCCTAAGTTAAGAGAAAACCAGAAAATTCTTAGTATAAAGCTTACAATCCAAAGCGAGGTTTCATTTGCATTTCCTTCCAAACTTCAAGTTTTTTTTAAATAAACCTGAAATATTATGAAATTATATGTAAATTTAATAATAACTGTCTTTGATGTAAAAACTACTGTTACTGTATTTAAACTTATAAAACTTTACAAAGACGTAGATCACGTTTAAGAAGAAGTATTGCACTTTTATTAATTTCATTATTTTGATTAATAGTTAAGATTTGTAAACTCTGATTTTTTTTAAATAAAAACTACTAAATACATCTTAACATTTAAAATCGTAATTGAATCAATATATCAAAAAAGTTTAAACATTACAAAACAATATAAAATGATATTTGTATTAATTAAAGGTCCGAAATCTCAATTGTAGGACAAAAATCTTTATTCAATTCAACGTATAAACGTAAAAACCGATAAAAACCGGTAAAATAACAAAATATTAAATCGAATTTAACGGTCAACATTGTTGATGCTTTTTCACAAATAACTTTTACGCCGCCTCCAATGATATGAATTATTCAACGTATGTTCA